GGTTGGGTTTGCATTCTTTGGCTATCAATTTCTCATTTTCTAGTTTAGCCACTTTAATTGCCTTTTTGCAAGTATTATTGGCTTCCTTATATCTTATATAGGATGCCTCTGATTTGTCCGATTTAAATGCTTTAAATGCCCTTTTCTTATTTTTAATCTCTTGTTTTACTTCTCTACTAAGCCACATTTGTTTCTTTTATATTTATTACCCAATGGCACATACTGTGAAATGTACCTTTCTAATATTTGTTTGAACAGTTTCCATTTTTCCTCAGTGTTTTTATCACTAAGGGGTTTATGCCAGTCGATATGTCGTAGAGCTGTCCTAATCTTATTAAAATTGGCTTTTTTAAAATTATACGTTTTAATGTACCCCACATGCTTTTGCTTTTTTAGTTTATTTCAAAAGTTACCATATTGTGATCATTATTTCTCAAATGCTCCCCTACTTGAATGTTGGTTAAAAGATCAACATTGTTTGTTATAACGAGATCCAGACAAGCATCCTTTCTAGTTGGTACTTGTACCAGTTGTGACATAAAGGTGTCATTTAAAGGACCACTATACAGTAGTGCCAGGAAAACATACTCGTTTTCCTGGCACTATAGTGCCCTGAGGGTGCCCCCACCCTCAGGGACCCCCTCCCCCTCCCACCGGGCTGGATGGCGAGGAAAGGGTTAAATCTTACCTTTTTTTTCCAGCGCTGGGCGGGGAGCTCTCCTCCTCCTCTCTGCCTCCTCTCCTCCTCTTCGGCTGAATGCGCATGTGCAGCAGGAGCTGCGCGCGCATTCAGCCAGTCTCATAGGAAAGCATTCATAATGCTTTCCTATGGATGCTGGCGTCTTCTCACTGTGATTTTCACAGTGAGAAGCACGCAAACGCCTCTGGCGGCTGTCAATTAGACAGCCACTAGAGGCTTTAGATACTGCTATGTTTATAAAAAAAAGGGTTAATCCTTGAGGGAAGCTGAAGTGGTCTGGGTGCCTAGAGTGGTCCTTTAACACATTCAAAAACCGGATTCCCCTTGCTGAAGTACCCTCTATCCCAATTTATGTCCGGGTAATTAAAATCTCCAATAATTGGAGATTATACTAGCTTTAGTGTATTTATAATCTTAATTTTAATAAAGACAGGAGGCGAGTATTTTGCATAACTCTCTTTACTAAACTCCTTAGCAGTAAAGAAAAGGATAGTAAGAACCAATCAAAAAACAGTAGGAGGTATGGTATTCCCAGTGAACAGGATCCTCCCCCTCTTTCTACTAGCGACATCGCAGACGGACAAAGTTCAAACAATTAAGAATCGAAACCAGTCTTGGGTCTGTAACCGTAGAGTCAATCCAAGCGAATCGGGATAATCCATGTGAAATGAAGGGTAAACTTGGGTAATCCATATAACAGGATATTCAATCCAAACGATTTAGGATAAACTTGGGATGATCCACATAGATATAACCAAAGGTCATGTAAAACATGAACTGGAACGAGAATGTGGAATAGGTTAGGTACTAGTCGTAAGACCATGAAAAACATGGGAATCATCTGTATAGCATATTTTCGTAAGACTATAGTATCATAATGACAAAACATTAGTAATAGGTACCACTCTCTCTAAAGTACAACAAGGTATAATAATCCTGACATGTGAGATATACACCATATACGTTGGATAGTCGGAATGGTGAGGGTAGAGTAGAGACTAGTTTCCTATAGAAGGATAGAGGAATTAGAAGAAGGAACAGTATAGAGATACCAGAAGACCGAAAGGGTGGGTATGAGTGGGAAAATACTCGCCTCCTGTCTTTATTAAAATTAAGATTATTAGTACACTAAAGCTAGCATAATCTTCAATTTTATTACATTACAGGAGGCTTCGTATTTTGCATTTTTAACGCTGATGTAACAAAGAAAACGCTGTGCAGGAGTTCGGTCTAAAGTAGAAGGTTCGAAAAGTGGATTCGCGTGACCAGTCGGCCGTGCGTAGAACATCTGATAGTGATGCTCCGGCTGCATAGGCCGAAGAAGCAGCCGCGCCTCTCACCGAATGAGCCCCGAAAGTGGCATCCACGCCCGCCAGTGACAAGATCCAGCGTACCCATCTAGCGAGAGTGGTAGAGGAAACTGGATTGTAGGGTTTGACGTAGGAAATCAGTAGTTGACCGGAGGGAGTCGGGCGAAGAGAGGCGGTAGCCGTCACGTAGCTGCGTAAGGTTGCTACCACGCATAATTGGGGTTCCGCGATGAAGAAGGGGTAAAAAATGGTGGTGGAGTTCGAATTGGTCCATCGGGAGACATGGAAGGTGACCCCTTCAGGATCTATCGAAAAGGCGTTGACTTCGAAGGCCTTAACGTCGGATACCCGACGAAAGCAAACTAAGCAAAGTAACATCGTCATTTTTGCAGAAAGTTGGCGAAGGGAGAGTCTGTCGTTAGGTGGCCATTCTCTTAAGAAGGTGAGGACGAGGTCCACATCCCATAGGTGGGTGTATTTGGGGGCCGGAGGCCGTTTTAGTCGCATGCCCCTCAGTAGTCGACATACCATAGGATTCTTACCCGTCGGAATCCCTTGGATAGGGGTATGTGCTGCTTAGATCGCTGAACGAACTATGTTAATAGTTCTATATAATTTTCCTGTTGCAAAAAGTGACAACAGGAAATTCAGGATGGTGGGAATATGTGCCGTAAGAGGATCAAGGTCCCGTTCCAGGCACCAAGCAGACCAGGATGTCCAAGCAGAGAGGTAGCATAATCTCGTCCCCGGTGCCCATGAATCCCATAAGAGGTCTCTAGCAGAGAGAGAAAGAGTCCAAGGCACCAGGGAGAGTCTCTCTTCCAGTATTAGCGAGTAAGGTTTCCCCTTCGGATCCGTAAGGAGTGCCGGATGGGATGGCAGTAAGAGCGGGTCTGCGTAAGACGGTGCTAGAAGAACCATGGTTGACTCTGCCATAGGGGGTAATCAGAAGCAGAGAAATCTGGTGTACCTTCAGATAGTGGAGAGTCCTCGCTATCATAGCGAATGGGGGAAATGCGTATGCGCCGAAGGGCGGCCAGGCCTGTAGGAAAGCATCCACTGCTTTGCATTCTGGATCTGGGAGCCAGCTGAAGAAGTCTGGTGTTTGTCTGTTGTTGCGGGATGCAAAGAGGTCCAGATGGAAGGGTCCTCTCATTTGCGAGAGGGCATTGAATGTCTCTCCAATGGCGTGAGAACCAGTCGGCTGTGAGGTTTGACTCCCCTGGGAGATATTCTGCCTTGAGGGATATGTTGCGTGGAAGCCAGAAGTCGAACACCTCTTTCGTGAGTTCGGATAGGAGTCATGAGTGGGCTCCGCCTAGGCGGTTGATATATCGGACGGCCGAGATGTTGTCCATCCTGAGGAGAATGCAACAATCTGATTTGTCCCTTGCTAGGCTGCATATGGCGAAGGAGCCCGCCAGTAGTTCGAGACAGTTGATATGCAGGTTGATTTCCTGGCCTGCATGCTGTCCAGCCACCACTGTAGTTCCTCCTTGACCTCTGCCCTAATCGGTACTGGTTGGTCGTAGGTGGATTTCGGCGGAGGAAGGATGTCTTGAGGCGTTGCATCGCCCTATAGTGGAGTGGACCCGGGAAGATGGCTTGGATGGATGCCGATAGGAGACCCACGTTTCATGCTAGGTTGCGTAGGGGAACCGATTGGCATCTGATCGTCTTGTGGATTTCCTTCCGAATAGCCGCGATCTTGGCTGTTGGTAGGCGGAGCGTGCTGGAGACTGAGTCGATTTCGAATCCCAGGAATTGTACGGTTTCGGACGGAGTTGTAGCCGATTTCAGGTGGTTTATCGTAAACCCTAGGGACTCTAGGAGTTCCATGGCAAA